TGTGCAATTCCTGCAGCATGGATATCCAAACATGCTGAGTTGCAAAGCCCCTGGCCCAGGGCGAGGGAAATGCCGGCAGAGGGTTGGGCTTTTCATGTCCCCCTGTGACTGTCACACCTGTCCCCATGCTACGGGGCATTCCAAGGTACCCTCCCCAGTTCACCCTAGCCGGGCGCAGCTCTCTCCCCTGGGAACCAAGTTTGGCTCTGGAAAGTGAAAGCGGCAGAGGTTTAAAGTTCAACCCGAATCGCTTCGGAAAGTCCCCGGGCTGCACGCGCTTATCTGCGCCATACCTGAGAGCAGCACATCCTGCCATCTCCTCGGCACGTGGGAGCGGGCGTGGAGAGGCAGGGACTGTCCCTGGCAGCAGGCAAAGGCCATCTCGAAGTGCAGCCTTGGCCTGCTGCAAATCTATTGGGGCGTCTCCCTGCCCACTGGCAGGCCTGAGAGCCGTGGGAAGCAGCTGAAGGCAGTGGAGCACATGCTACTGCTGCATTTCTGTATCTGGTTTTGGTGTATCCCCTGTCCTGCTCCAGAGCGTCAGCGGTGCGGGGCACCCAGCAGCCTCATGGATGCAAAATGTGGGCGGCTCTTCTTCCAGCGGGGAATTCCCTGCAGCAGCATGACCTAGGGCTTCCCCAAGGACGCAGCTTTTCCACAGGCAGCAGGGCAAAGGGGAACTTGCTTGTTTCGCTGTTGAAAATGGGGCTCTGAGGTGAGGTGCGCCTGCGGTGTCGAGTACTGCCTTGATCCACGGAGGAGGCAGCTTTGCTGGGCTGCTCAGGCTGTGCAGCCTTCCTGCAGCCCCTCCTGCCTCCCTCTAGCCCTTGAGGGATGTCCTACTCCTTTACACTGTGCCCATGCGGGGTGCGGCAGGTTGGTAGTGCTGGGCTGGAAATTCCCCTCGGGCCCACTGCTGCTGCTCTCACTTCTGTTCTGACTGCTTAGAGACAGCAAGGACCAGTGCAAAACCAGCACAAGCATTGCAGCAGGGGAAGGGCAAGGGAGGGTGGGCTGAGAATGAAATCTACCCTGGGGCTGGGGCAGCCTGAGCATTCAGCAGTGGTGAGTACCAGGGTACCCAGCTCTTTAGAGCGCTCTAGTATCCCTCTGCATGCCAGTCCTGCCACAGTGGCACCAAAGGGGAAGGATGTGGAAGGGAAAGAGGAAATTAGTGGGGGCTGGAGGAGAGCCTGGCAGAAGGGCTGTGCCACACAGGTGATCTTGCACTGGTACTAGGCTCCTGCCCAGTTCTGGCTGCCTGCCTTGGCACAGGAGAAAGCAGAAGTGTCATCGTGTGGAGCCAGCAGTTGGGAACTGGAATTCCCCTGGCGGTTGCTGGAGTTCAAACCTCCTGCTCAATGGCCCTTGGGCTCTGCAAAATGCTTCTCAGGCTCTGCCATCCTCCCCAAGATGGAGGGTGCAAATCCCCTGCATTCAGTGTGGCCCAAGGGAGGAGAGGTGGGTCACATCCTCTGTGGTCACCCCGTGGGTCTGCCCTGGGGACCTTAGGCTGTGCTTCTGTTCCACCCTGCAGCTGAGCTGCCATGGGAAGAGGGCAAGGTTGGAAGCTGCAAACTGGTGGGAAGAAGGTGGCTGGGGGAGGTAGGGAGATTATTTCAGCTACAGCAGTGGAGGATCTCTGCCCATGAGCGTATCACTTGGGACTGATTTTTGTCCTTCTTTTCCACCCCTGTTCCCTGTGCAGGTTGGTTCACCTGGCAATTATTCACTGTGTCCCAGATGTGGCACTCTGCTGCATTGCTCAGCTTCCCAGAGAGCTGCTGGAAATCCAGAATGACCTTTTCCAGGTATGACGTGAGTGAGATGGGCAGAAGGCATAAGGCAGGCAGGTGCCACTTTACTGGGTGCCCACTCCATCAGCCTTTTCCCTAGGGAAGCCTTCCTGCTTGCTGCAGGGCATGATGAGGATGTGTGAGCAGTCGCTTTCCAAAGAGGGGGAAGGCAATACCTTGGGAGGGAGGAAAGCAGCTCTTGGCACCAGGGGTGTAGGAGTGCCCACCCCATGCCACCAGGCTGCTTGCTGGGGGCTGGCACTGCATTGCACCCCTGCCTCCTAATTTCTGCTTCCCTCCTCCAGACTCCACTGCACCTGGCTGTCTATCTGGAGCAGCCCAGTGTAGTCCAGGCACTAATCCACAAAGGAGTTAACCCTGGGCTGCAGGACCGCAATGGCAACACCCCGCTGCACTTGGCCTGTGAGCAGCAACGCCTGCGCTGTGCCCAGCAGCTGCTGCAGGGCACAGCTGAGCCCCCCGGGCACCTCCAGGACCTGCAGCTCCAGAACTGGCAAGGTGGGACCCACGGAGAAGTCCAGAGGTTGTGCTGTAAATACAGGAGGTTGGTGGGGGACTGGCACTGATGCTGGCTATCTCTTCTCCCCAGGTCTGGCCTGTCTGCATATCAGCACCTTGAAGGGGAACATCCAGATGATGTCCCTGCTGCTGCAGAGCGGTGCCAACATTGATGTTCAAGTAAGGCTGGAAAGGGCTACTGCGGGGCTGCACCTCTCCACCCTGTCTATGGTGTGTGGGTGCTGCAGGGACCTCACACCCATGTCCTTGTCCCCCACAGGAGGGCACAAGCGGGAAGACCCCGCTGCACATGGCGGTGGAGTGCCACAACCGGAGTGCTGTCCAGTTCCTGCTGCACAACGGGGCCTACGTAGATGCCCAGATGTACAATGGTTGCACCCCGCTTCACCTGGCCGTGGGTCGCAAGGATGCTGCCATCGCCGCCATCCTCTCGCACTCCGGGGCAGACACCCTACTGAGGAACATGGAAAACGAGACGGCCCAGGACCTGGCTGATGGCAACGATGATGTGAGTGAGGCCAGTGGGGATGCCGAGAGTTCTGTCGGTATGTTGGGGCTGCAGGGTGGTGGCACAGACACAACAGGGATGCTCACAGCCCCGCACCCTTGGCTTTTGCAGTTCCTTGCCTTGCTGCCCTTTGATGACCTGAAGATCTCGGGGAAGCCCGTCGTGTGCTCTGAGTGAGCAGTGGACACGTAGGCCCACAGATGGCCTCCTCGCCCTGTGCTGTCACCCTGAAGCCTGCAATGGGAATGGAGCCATGTGTTATCCCTGCCTGGAGAAGAGTTTGTGGGCCTCAGGCTGCCTTTCTGGACAGAAGGAGGTGACACTACAAGCACTACACAGGGGAGGCTGTGTTTTCAGATTTGTGCCCAGTGGGGTCTGTGCTACAGATCAGCAGGACTGAATTCCTCTCCCTGCTAGGGGCCTGAACTGCAGGTGCTGCAGGCTGTCACTGACTGGGGATGGAGCAGGAGAGGACTCTTCATCACAGTGCACAGGGACAGAGCATCATCTGGCACCCCAGCCAGCATCAGAACAAGAGTGGGTGAGCAGCTAGCGCTCACTGTAATAAACATTTGTTCTGGCTGCAGGTGCTCCAGCTCTCGTGTCACCCAACCTACTCCCCTCCCACACAGTGTCCTCTTTTCCAACGAGCATGGGAAGATCCTGACCCAGCTTGTGGCGTGGCAGGTTGATTAGAGAACATAGGGTTTTCCCTGGGTCCTACAGGCAGAAGTGATGGCTGGGCTATCTCCACATCCTTTAGTTCCTAGCCTCCTGTCCCTGCCTGTCTCCTGTGGGAGCAGGACGTGATGCAGTGTGCTGGGGAACCGGCCCACCGAGGTGCTGTGTGAACAGACACCCATGGTGCTGACCCCACCCCAGCCAGGGAAATTCCCCACTTGCTGCCATGGAGCAGCTGCTGTTGTGTGGGGCAAATCCCGGATGGTGCAATCGCCCCAGATGCTGCAGAGCTGCTCGCAGCTTTCTTCCTCTCTTCTTACAAAGGCAGATGTGAGGGAATGCTGCCAGGAATGCAGCACTCACTCCTCTGGCCTCCCCAGCAGCTCTCGGGCTGCCATTGAGTTGTATTCTACCCACTACCTCAGCAGCACCTGCCAGGGCCGGGAGCCCTGTGGCTGGGGGGAGCAATGTGTCACAGTACTGTGGTGGTGCCAGGCCTGAAGGAGCAGGACGAGAAAGGCAGAAGCAAGTGATCTACACTTTTTTTTTTTTCCATAATAAAAGTGTTTTGGTTTGTTTTTTTAAATGAGTGTCGTAAACCGTTACTGCAAGGCTGGGGCAGTGCACCAAGCCCTGACGCACAGCCGCCGTCGCCCCATCCTTTCCTCCCGCCCTCCGGCATAGCGAGGCCGGGCCCGCTGCGCCATGAGCGCAGCCGCAGCTCCGCGTGGCTCCGCGCCGCCCCGCACGGCCCCTCCGCGCCGCCAGGGGGCGCTGTGGGGAAGGGGGGGGCGACGCTTCGGGCCGCCGGGCGGGAGTTCCGCCGCCGCCGGCAGCGGGCTGAAGGTAGCCGGCCGGGAGCGGGCCGGGCCGGAGCGGGCCGCAGGTGGGTGCTGGGTCTGCAGTCGGAGCGGGCTACGCGGCGCCTGCGGACGGGGCCGCTGGGCGGAGACCGGCCCCATAGCCCCGGGAGCTTCCTCTTCCTATCTCGCCGTTCCCGGCGGCGGTCCCCGGTCCCTGGCGAAAAGCCGTGCGGTCTGGGGACGTGAGGCGGCCCTCCGGCAGAGTGCGGAGCTGGGTGCCCGGGGCCGGGCCGCAGGGGAGATGCCGTGTGAGCGAGTGACGAGCAGGTGGGTACGGCGGTGGTGGGCCGGCGGTTGGGTGGGTGACTTGAGAAGCGTTTCCAACCTTAACGCGATGGTGTGGTTCCGTGCAGCGAGGTCCTGCTCGGAGCGGGGCCCGGCTCTCTGCGCTCGAGGCTTCGCATTAGGCGGAGCGGTGCTGCAGATGCGCCGGGCTGCGGCCGGGCAGCGCTTCGGCCCCAAATCTGAGCCCTGAGGCTGAGTCAGGAGCCCGAGGCGTGGGGCCGCGGCAGAGGCCTGGCCCGGCTCTGCGGCGGTGCAGCCGAGAGCGGCCCCCTGCGAGCCGGGGAGCTGCAGCCGCGCGAAGGTCCCGCTCTGAGGCGCCTTTCACCGCTCGGCCTGCCGCCCGTACGGCCCCCTCCCACCTGTAACACTGGCGGCCCTGTTCCCTCCGAGTCTCGGCGGGGAGAGCGGAGCCGGCGGCCCTGAATCTGCGTCTGGGAACTGCCGGTGCGCGCATAGAGAGCCATTGTCCCGCTGTATCCTCCTGTGGGAGAGTGGGGCTGCTCCTGCTCCCGCAACAGTGCTTGGGGGTGAGGGGAATGGTCCTGAATGGGGGTGGCTGGCTTTTGGTCTCCGTCAGGTTGATGGGATGCATGGCTATGAATGTAGCAACCGACTTTGTGGTTTGTATCAGACTTAAGCAAAAGCAAAGGGCTTTTCTGTGCCCTCTGCTTGGCAAGAGAGCTGCTGTGATCAGCCAGGATTACCTCATGCAAACCTGGAGCACGTGGGCAGCATCAGCCCCCAGTGCTACCGCTGAGCTCTTTTCCTTACATCCTCCAGCACCTGTGCAGCCTGCAGTGCCTCTCAGCAGGAGAGAGGTCTGAAGGAGGAGGGGGAGGATTGAGGCAGAGGTGTCAGACTTTTTTTTTTTTTTTTTTTTTTTTTTTTTTTAAATGAGGAGAAAGCAGAGACACAAAAACCTGCTCCAAGCTGTTTGCACTTCTACCCAGGATGGGAATTTTTGGGTCATGTAAGTTGCAGGAGGGTGAAGCTCAGCCTTGGCTTATGTCAAGTTGTTGGACTCTGAGGCCTGTCTGCAGTGACTGAAGATTAGAAAAGTCCCTGAGCCCTTTCCCAGGGCATAGGAGGACAGTGGGAAGGGAGAGCTTGTTGCTCATGAAATGGCAGGGGACTTTTTTGCCTTTACAACCCTAGCTTTGTTAGTACAAGACTCTGAGATTTGTGAATACTGCAGACCACAGCTGCGGTCTCTGACACTGAGGGAAGGTACACAGGGCCTAAATTCCTATGAATCACTTGTTTTTTTGCAGGGGGAGCTAGCATCTTCTCTGGCCCTTTTCATCACAGAAGCCCAGCGCTTCATCTGGTGCATGTTTATGTACCCAGCTCCATAGCACCATCACTGGCCCCTGTGAGGCTTTTTCTGCAGGGGAGACTGGGGCAAGAATGGAGCATGGACCAAAGTTACCTCCTCCCCTGCTGCAGAAAGATGCTTTGACCTTGGACCAGGCTGCTGCGGGAGAGGAGGATGCCAGCGGCCTTGGGTGCAGAAGTCTGTGCCAACTTCATCCTTGTTGTGTATCTGCTGCTCTTGCTTTTTGTGTGGCCCACTAGCCTGGGTTTGCTTGTGCAATGAAGGGGACAGTGGGAAGAACTATAGGTGCATTACAGCTGTCATAAAGCTGACCAGATCACTCCTCACTCAGGACTAATGCTTCAGATGCCTTTGCAGATAGCACTGGTAAAAACCCAACCAGACAGCTGATAAGAAGGTTCCTTCCCAACCTTGCTCTCTGGCTGTGCCTTGTCAAGTGGGTGAGCCCTGGTAATTTCCTCAGAGCTGCAGGGAATGCCCTGGCACACTGCCCAGGGGCTATGTGCTGCCCCAGCAGGGAGATGGGCAAGCCTGGCAGCCACATGCTCCCCTGGCTCTCCTCTGCTCACCTGGTGTAATTGGAGGGGAAGTACTTTTTCTGAAAGAAAAGCTGCTCTGGATGCAGGCTTGTAACATGAGCTGCTAGGAATCTCTTTTCATTTCATGACCTTTTATTTTTTTCCACCCAGAAGAAAGAAATCTGCATTTAGCTGTGCTATAGTTTAACCTGAAAAGGTGAGGTGCAAGGTGCTCCTTGCATTTGGAACAAAGGCGTTGTCAAAACCAGCCCTTTACAACAGCATTCAAACATCCTCTCCAATCCTGGAAGCCCAAGCTTTTAAGTCCATGTGTTCCTAAGCCAGAGCAAACACTGTTAACAGATGCAAATATAAACTCCAGAGGGCCTTTCCTGCTCTGTATTCTGCGATAACTGCTGTTATTTGCCAGTGTGGGATATGGGTGCTGCCTGCTGGTCAGGAGCAATCTGGGAGGTAGGTGGTGCAGGTAGGCGGGGGGAGCAGGCTGTGTGCTGGTTGCCTATCGTCTGCCTCTTTGTCTCTCTTGCAGATTTTGTGTTCCCCTCGTGCTGGCTGCTCTCCCCATCATGGCTACTGGTGAAGAAATGCTCCCTGCCTTGCAGGACTCCTGGGGGGACTTCTGGCTCTTCCGTTTCTTTATTAACGCTGCTGGCTATGCGAGCATTGTAATACCAGGATTCCTTCTCATTCAGTACTTCAAGAGAAGGAATTACCTGGAGACAGGTAGGGGCAGGCAACAGCTTTCCTCAGATATCTGCCTCAGCGCTGACAGGTGGTTGGTTCTCTTGCTGTGCTTTGTTGGACCAGCGCTGAGCTGGGCATAATCTTCCGTCCCTAAGAGCTATCCTGAAACAAATCTCTCCCAGGCTCCCATACTAGTAGATATGGAAGTTTGTTCTGAACTATTTGGAGTTTGCCTGAGTCAGCTCAATCCATGGCTGCATAAGTAATATGACAATTTGTCTGCTAAAGGCCCCAGTCTCCATCTGGTGTTGCATGTAGTGTAATGAACTGACTGTTAGTCACAGAGAAGGTTAGTAAGGAAGGAGCCTACACCTCTCAGGCTGGTGTGGCTTGTGGTACCCAGGCTGTGGTTAATTCTTTGTTTGTGTTCTCTTATCCCTTCAGGCCGAGGCATTTGCTTTCCTGTCATCAAATCATGTGTGTTCGGCTCTGAGGTGAAGACTGTACATGCAGAGGATGGCTCCCTGCCACCCCGAGCAGAGCCTACAGAGTCTTCTACAGCCCGACAGATCTTGAAGCTGCTCTTCTGTGCTGCTGGTCTACAGGTAGGGGCCCTGTGCATGTGTGCGTGGCCGTCCCACTCAGGGTGGAGGGACTGGAAAATGAGTTTGTACTGCCAGTTCCTTGGAGATGCAGTGCTGTCCTTGATAAGGCAGAGTTGGAGGCTGGGACACTGCCTCTCCATTAGGATAATCCACCAGGGCTGCTGCGTAACCTTTGAGGGGCCATTCTGGTGTCGTCTGCATTGGGACCTCTCTCATCTGTCCTGTTGCAGTTATATATCAGTAATGTTCTCTGATCTTGTCCATCTGGTTCAACACGCAGTTTAAAACAAGCGTTTTCTCTGTACTGAGGTGTTGCTTTGTGGGCAATAGACAATCTTCCAATGATTGCTTGTAGCTCTTGGTGCGGGTCCTAATTCCCTGTGCTCCTCTTGCTTTGCAGGCCTCCTACCTCACATGGGGTGTTCTCCAGGAGCGCGTGATGACAAGAACATACGGTGCTACTGAGACGGACCCTGGTGAGAAGTTCAAGGACTCCCAGTTCCTAGTGTTTATGAACCGCATCCTGGCCTTCACTGTGGCTGGTCTGTACTGCGCCTTGACCAAGCAGCCGCGCCATGGGGCTGCTATGTACAAGTACTCTTTCGCCTCCCTCTCCAACATCCTCAGCAGCTGGTGCCAGTACGAGGCTCTCAAATACATCAGCTTCCCCACCCAAGTGCTGGCCAAGGCTTCTAAAGTGATCCCTGTAATGATGATGGGTAAACTGGTGTCACACAAGAGTTACGAGTACTGGGAATACCTGACAGCTGCCCTCATCTCCGTGGGGGTCAGCATGTTCCTGCTCTCCAGTGCTCCCAACAGACACGTGTCCACTGTCACCACTTTCTCTGGTGTAGTCCTCCTGGCTGGCTACATTGTCTTCGACAGCTTCACATCCAACTGGCAGGATGCCCTCTTCACCTACAAGATGTCTCCTGTGCAGATGATGTTCGGTGTCAATGTCTTCTCCTGCCTTTTCACAGTGGGCTCGCTCTTGGAGCAGGGTGCTTTGCTAGAATCAGTGCACTTCATGGCTCGTCACTCGGAGTTCACGGCCCACGCGGTGCTGCTGTCAGTGTGCTCTGCCTGCGGCCAGCTCTTCATCTTCTACACCATCAACCAGTTTGGGGCAGCCGTCTTCACTATCATCATGACTCTCCGCCAGGCCTTCGCCATTCTCCTCTCCTGCCTCATTTACGGGCACACTGTCACTGTTGTGGGTGGGCTGGGCATAGCTGTCGTCTTTATGGCACTCTTCCTCCGTGTCTATGCCCGCAGCCGCATGAAGAAGCGCAGCAAGAAACTACCACCAGGGGAGACCGCTGTCCAAAAGGTCTAAGGAGCTGAGGCCAGGGTCTCTGAGCTGTGCCTGCTGTCCTGCCTCTGCTGGGGGGCGCTTGCTTGATCTATCAGAACCCACTGAGAAGCCAGGTGGAGTATCGTTAGGCTGGACAAGTGACTCACTTTTCCACCTGCTTTTCCTGGGGAAGGGGCTGCAACAAGCCCAGGGAATGCTCTGGGCTGCCACAGCTCCAAACCTTACTATTTGCCTTAATAGGTGAGAGACTTCCAGCCAAGACACGGACCTAGGGGCTTGCAGCTGCAGGGGCAAACCAGCATGGGGCTGCTGGTGCTCCTGCCCCACCTGTGTCATGGTTTCTCTCTAAGGTCATTGACTGAACAAGAGAGATCTTTTCCACGGCAACATCTTCCCTCCAGCTTATGCGCCTCCATGTCTGTCACTACTACAGAGCTCAGCAGGAGGAGGGGGCAGGAAAAACACTAGCTCTGTCTTTGAAATGTCTCTATATGAGGCAAAATCCTGAGCTGAGCCTGGGGTAAGTAGGACAGAAACTCCCGCTCAGTCACTCCAGCCTCAGGCTTTCTTCCCAGGAGGTGCTCCAGGTAGGAGAGGCACAGCTCAGAGAGGACCTGTCCTACCGCAGGCCTGGGATCTGCTCTGGGAGGGCAGGCTGGAATCCCAGTTTGGTTTATCAGTCCCTTACCCCAGCTCTAAGCCAATTTTCTTTGCTCCTCCTAGCCCAGGCTGATTTTTATGCGGAGACAGAGGCTGGCTGATGCATTTCCCAAGGCTTGCTGAGTTATTCTAGGTTGCTTTTCATTTACATCCGCTGCTGTTACAGGCCAAAGGCTACAGTGCCCAGAATCCCCAGCATCTCCTCAGGGTGCCACGGTTTCTGGACTCTGTAGTTGCCATTCAGAGAAGCACAAACACCCGCTTTTTTTTCCCTGCCAACTGGAAGTATCAGCCCCACCTTTCTTGGGGCCTTATCAGAGCCCCACAGTGCCTGGAGGTCTGCAGGAAGGGACAGAGCCCTCTGTCATGGCTCATCCCCTCTCCACAGGCAGCAGAGGATGGAGGAGCAGGTGCCTGCCCCCAGGCAACAGGGGATGTGGTAGTGGAGGCTGCTCCCACTGCTCTTCCCCAAAGCCTGGGTTGTACCCATTAACCCTTTTCTCCCCATTACAGCCTGACTGACAAGTCAGTAATTTTGGTACTTTTGAAAAGCAACTTTTTTCTTTTTATTTTATTAAATTAAAAATATGCTGCATATAGTACCCCAGAGGTAAATGGGTTTTTTGTTTGTTTTCTTTTCCCCTGTATCTTCCCTCCCACTCATAGCTGGAGGGAAGAGAGTAATTCCCCAAGCTGTTCCCTGATCTCCCTAGAAAACTTTGCTACGCTCTCTCCCCTTTCCAAATATGGGTACCTCTGCCTGCACACAGGGTTGGACCTACAGCTCCAAAGCCCCATGGTCCCTCCATGCAAGATCCCTGCACACACACACACAGCTGGAGAACATAGCCATGCTCAGACCTCTGCTTGTGCTGGTGAGTGCACCAGGACCTGCAACTCTGTGCCAATTTAATCCTGATAAGGACTTGGGGACAACACAGGGAACCCTGGCACCAGGTGGGTGTATCTGCAAATAGGGTGGATGGATAGAGATAATGTAAATGGGGGCCAGAGCCTCCACTGCCATAGTGAGGCCTTGAAGGAGTCCAGTCTTCATGGAGTGCATCTGCACCCACACCAGCTCCACAAGTCCTGTATAGACCCCTGGTGCACAATTGAGTGTTGAAATAAACCTTCACTCTATGCTTGTGCTCTCTGGGCCTAGCAAGGTCTGGAGCCAACCACAGAACCTTGCCCTGCAGCTAGAGAAACAGGAGAATCAAGCGAGGGTTACAGGAGAGACTGATCAGGCATATTAACAGCCTGCAAGGACAACAGCATCTGCTGAGCACAGCACTGAGTTTGGCTCTAGCATTTTTATCCAAGTTCCTTTACTACTTTCAAGTTCTTGAAAGTGCCTGTATTACCTGATCTCACAGCCCTGCATCTTTCCTCTTGCCTCCACCTCTTTGTTTACAAATTCAAATTCCCCCAAGTGTCTGCCTCACAGTCTGCTGTCAGACTGAGAACGTTTGGGTTTTTGGGTAGGATTTTTTTTGGGGGGGGGGGGGAAGGGGGGATGAAAAGGAAAGGAATGGTAAAGTTCCTTTCTATTACAGTGCAGAACAGGACCCCTGTTCTCAGTTAAATGAGAATGGAGGAAAACAAACAAGGAAAATGCTTTAAGTTGAAAAGAATCAATGCTGAGGCTCACTTGGCAAAACTTCCCCATCCTGGGAGAAATCCTGTCTCCTTTCTCCTGTCTCAGCAAGAATTACTCTGCAAGAGTTGGCTAGCACAGCTCTAGCTGCACCCCACCAGCTTGCACCCAAGCAGCACTGTGCCCTACGGGGTGCAGCCATGACTCCAGCTCCCAATAGGGCTCGAAACAGGGCCCAGCTGTTCTCTACCTCCCCTTTCCCTTCTCATGATGGATGCTGGCTGAAACACTCACTCCATTTTATGCATATGCTGGTTACATTTTGCCCTGCTATGCTTCCCCTTCTACTTCCTCTTCATTCTATCTCAATGTCATCTGCCCTTGTAGCAGCTTTCCACTTTATTCTGTTCCTGCTTCCTCTTTGTGTTACAATTCCACCTCAACTTCCACATCCACCCTTGTAGCAGCTGCCTTCTGCCCTTCCGATTCTTTCCACTTCTCCCAGTTCTGCTTCATTCCACTTCTGTTTCCTTCCTCTACTTCTGTTTAAACTTTTTCTACTTCTGGTTATGCTTCTGGTTTGAGTTCCTTCTCATTCCACTCCTTTCCACTTCTGCTTCCTCTGACGCTTCTATTTCAATCCACTTCTGCTTCCATTTCCTTCTGCTTCATTTCCCTTCCAGTTACACACTTTAGCTTATAGGTCTGCCTTGTTCTGCTTCTGATTCCTTCTGCTTAAACTTCTGGTTCCACTTCAACTTCTGGTTCTGCTTCCACTTCTGCTTCTTTCCATCCTCGTAGCAGCCACCTTACATCCTCACAACATTCTGCCCTTCCACTTCTTTCTACTTCACTTTGCTTGCGCTTCCACTTCATTTTCCATTTACACCTCTTCCACTTACACCTCTGCTTTCTTCTGCTTCTGGTTCCACTCCCCCTTCTGTCTCCTTCAGCTCCTGCTTCTACCATTGCAGTACTGTGTCCTACAGTGCTTTGGTGTGCAGGCATGACTCCAGCTCCCACCAGAGCTGTGCTCTACATCCTACTTCCCTTTTCAAGATGGATGTTGGCTAAAATGTCCACTCCATTTTGTGCCTGTGGCTGCTAGCATACAGTCAAGTATGACTGGATGTCACTTTCCCCTGCCCAACCCCAGAGGCCAACATGGCAGAGGGTGACAAGCCCTACAGCTTTAGTGTAAGTTTGATACAAAGAGCAGATGGCTCAGATGATGCCCCAGGCCTCTCAGTCATCCAAGAGACAGGTTAAAGCAAGGTGCTGCAAGGTGTTAAAGCCCAAAGGGCTGCAGAAACCTTAAAACAGCAGGCTGGATGGCGGAGGAAAAGTGAAGTCTAGAACAAAGCCTGCAAAAGCAGTTTGACACAAGAGCTGAACAGAGGCAGCTGAAATCCCCAGCAGTTAATTTCCTCCCACCCCCATCTCAACTCTGTGCTGCAAGGGAACAAGCAGATGGCTCCTGTCACTGCTCCAGCCCAGAGACAGAGAGATGCTTATTAGACCAGCCAGCAGCAACACACACTCATGTCCTGTTAGCTTATTCAGCTGACAAGCACAGCTTGAAAAGGTTTCTTCACTAGCTGCAGGTCATGCAGGCAGAGACCACCTCTCCTGCCCAGCAGGTCCTTTCTCACCTACCCTCTCTGTGGTGCCAAAGCAGGGAAGTAGCAGAGATGAGCTAAAGCACAACTCAAATCTAGTCGGAGTAGACCCTGCCTTCACATGGCAGTTCAGAAAGAGCACAACAGTTTAACCTGTGGTGGTGGCTTTTAAACTACAGAGGCCAAGAGCGTTGAAAGCAGGCCACATATCTCTTCCCCCAACTTCTGGAAAGAGCTGCAGCCCACTCAGCATGTGCAGCTGTGACACACAGAAGAGAAAGGGAGCCAAGGCCACAGCTTGATGCAAGCCAAAAGACAGTTTCTTCAAGGTATCTCCTAAGTTCTCCTCAGCCAGTAATCCCCTCCTCACCTTGTCCCCTGGAGGCAGGGATAGGCAGTGGTGCAGCTAGAACAAGAACCTGTCTCCTGCAAGTTCTACCCCAGGTTCACATAACCCCCTGCATGGCAGAGGATAGAAGTCCCAGCAGCCCTCCAATACAAGGAAGTGTGCCCACAAGCAAAACAGGCCTGTCAGCCCTCTCAGCACAGCACCAGCTGAGCTCTGCATAACTTCCCTTCCAGTGCTCAAACCTCTGGAATTGAGCATCCTCACCTTCCCCTTTCTGGACATGAGAACACAATAGAACCTTTTATGTAAACCTTGATCTTTTGACATTTTAATTCCAGTAGAACAAAACATCAGGAAAATCAATGAAAAATAACCGAGCCAACCAAGATACAATCCTACTCTGGGGAGGCTGGAGAGAAAGGACTCTCTTCACCTCAGTTGAGCATGGGAGATCCCATGGGGTGTGAGAAAGAGGAAGACTGACCCCTCCACACCTCCATTCCCCATTACATGATCTTACACAAGTAGAAATACACACAACAGACATGCCCGGGGCTGCCTGACTTGCTCATTACTGACAAACAGGGAATCCTGTCTCCATTCCCCACTACAAAAAAAAAAAATTCCAGAAGACACCATCAAGGAGCCAGAAGTCAGTGGGAGCAGAGACCCCTTTTCTAAACAGATATGAGATTAGACAGAGGTCTGGCAGGAAATGGAAGAGACTTCCTTCTTTAGTCCACCTCTTCCATGCGGGATGTGTCTTCATCTCCCTCCAGAGGTGGGACTTCATCAGGAGGAGCTGTATTGGACTCTTCTGCAATCACCTCATCTTCATCAATACCTAGGAGAGAAAAGGGAAAGAAGAGATGAAGCCTCTAAGAGACAGCTGAGTCGCACAGTCCCACAACAAAGGCTGGCTTGTCAGGAGCCCAAGCCACAGCACTTCTTGATTTACATTTGTGCCTAAAAGACAGTGGAGACAAAACTGAACGTAAGCAAGCCCTCTGAACACACGGGCTGGGCCTTCTTTTCCATGGTAGATTTTTGACATCTACTGCAAGAATGATGTCACCTGTGCAGCCTGGTGGTGGGCATGAGGCCAGGACAACCTTTCTTGAGACTTCCACTTGCCCCCAGCGTCCTTAAACACCCAGCTACTTCTGTGTATCACAGCAGCACTGCTCACTCACTGGCCTTTCCCTCATGCCTCTACACATTGTTCTTGCTGCACAGGCCACAGGAAGCTAGGCTGCCTGCTTCTGCCAAAGGCACGTCACTCCTTCCTAATAACTTCTGTACGAAATTCCAGCTCAGACACCTTGGGCACCTATACGGTGTCAAGCCACAAGAAAAGGTGAGGGGACCATGGATCTGCACTTCCACAGAGACTTGGGCAGGTGATTTCACAGCAGGTTAAGAAAATCCCATTTATAAGGGGAGCTAGCCTTGCCCAGAACCTTCTCCTGAAGCTGCGTGGACACGTACCAAGCCCCAGTTTGATCATCCTGTAGATGCGGTTGGAATGGGTCTGAGGATCTTCCAGGGAGAAGCCAGAGGACAGCAGAGCAGTCTCGAAGAGCAGGACCACCAGGTCTTTGACAGCTTTGTCATTCTTGTCAGCATCAGCCTTCCGGCGGAGAGTTTCCACAATTGGGTGGTCAGGGTTGATCTCCAGGTGCTTCTTGGCCATCATATAGCCCATGGTAGAGTTGTCCCGCAGTGCCTGAGCCTTCATGATGCGCTCCATGTTTGCTGTCCAACCGTATGTGCTGGTGACAATGCAGCAGGGAGATGAGACCAACCGGTTTGAGATAGTTACCTGACAAGGGAGCCAAGAGTTAGCAGAGCAAGGCTCCCAGCATACCCAAGAACGGACCCAGCCCCAGGGCACAACACTCCATGTAATCATCCCAGGTTCACCTGAGGACAGCCCAAAGCAAACAGGGATCCTTCAAAACAGCTCCAAAATCGCTTGACAGAACAGTTTGGACAGCTCAACCAGCACCTTCAGTACCCACTGCGTTTCCCACA